GTCCAAGATACAGAAGTAAGCTAAGTATCCATTAACAGATGAATGGATAAAGATGTAGCACTTATACACAAAGGAATATTATTCAACCATAAAAATAAAAGATATCTTGCCATTGCAACAATGTGGATGGTTCTAGATGGTATTATTGCTCAGTGAAATAAGACAAACACCATATGATTTCACTTATTTGTGAAATATGAAAACAAAGCAAAATAGAGGGAAAAAAACAGCAGTAGACTCATAGGCACTGAGAAGTCACTAGTGGTTACCAAGGGGGAGGGATTGGTGTGTATGATGGGGAAAGGGGAGGCAGATAAAGGGGCACAATGATTCACAATCACAATTATCAGTTGGTCACAGGGATGATAGTGCAGCATGGAGAACATAGTCAATGATTCTGTAACATCTTTCCACATTGATAGATAGTAACCACACTAGAAGAGGTGAGGATTTAATAATATGAGTAACTGTTGAACCACTGTACATTTGGAACCAATGTAAGATTGCATATCAATGATACTTTAATAAAAAAGTAAAAGACTAGACAAGAGATAATAAGTGTTGGCAAGGATATGTACACAAGAGAGTCCTTGTGCACTGTTGGTGGGAATATCGATTTGTACAGTCACTATGGAAAACAGTTTAGGGACTCCTCATAAATTTAAAAATAGAACTACCGTATGAACTAGCAATTCCACTTTTGGGTATATATCCAAAGAAAATGAAAACACCAACTCAAAAACATACCTCCATATTCATTGCAGCATTACTTACAATAACCATGATATGAAAACAACCTGTATGTCCATTGATAGATGAATGGGTAAATAGGAAGTGTTATACATATTCTATGGAATATTATTCAGCTATAAAAAGATGAAATCTTGACATTTGCAACAACATGAATGGACCTTGAGGGCATCATACTAAGTGATATAAGTCAGACAGAGAAAGCCAAATACTGTATGATCTGTGTTATATTTGGAATCTAAAATTAAGTATTAAAACTGCAGTTTTACATTACAAAATCTGCAAGCTTTGTAGCATCTCCTGTCTACTTCTCTGTCTTGATTCCTGTTACAGTAAGAATAATTTCATTTTACCTGTCCTTGGTATCCTCACTATTTTCTCCTACAAAAATATGTTCTTTACTTATACCCTCTCCTTCTTATCATTAATGTTTTCTTCTTTATAGGACCATTTGCATCAATCAATAAACATACTCTGGTTTCTTGTATCTTTAAGAAGAAAATTTCTCTTGAGTTCCTAATGACTAAAGAACTTCCCTATTAATCTGCAGTTTATATAATTTGTTGTTAATTGTCTGAACTGTTACTACTCACTCTTCAGCCTATTTTAATTAGTCTCAACTTCTCTCTGATGACATCATTCTTGCCAACAACTTTCACGTTGTCAAATTTAAGAGATATTATTTTGTCTTTATCAGTCCTAATTTTCCAATAGTATCCAACAATCCTTGACCCCTTTTAAAGGACTTCCTTCTTTTACTTCACTCCAAATATCTTGCCACTCATGAGCACTGATTTGATAGCTCCTTGAATTCCATCATGTCCTCAAATAGCATAGATCTTTGGGACTATGTCATACATTATCTTTCCTACATAGTCCAAATGATGTTATCTATTCATGTTTCTTCAGTTTATAATATCTACATGCTGACATGATCCCATGTGTTCCCTGAATTTCAATTGTGTTCAACTATGGACTGAAGTACCACTTGGAAATCTCTAAGACATTTGAAGTTTACAGTCTCAAAAATGAACTCTTGATTCTTCTCCTCAAGTCTCTAGACTTCCACATTTAATTAAATATAATCACTTACTACATTCTCATGATGCTCAAGTTAGAAAATTAGGGATCATCCTTCATTTCTTTTTTTTCTTTCCATATTGACTTATCATTGGTAGCTGAGAATTTTATCTTTAAAAGATACCTTGAATCTGTCTAGTTCACTGCCATCACCAAGCCTCTAGCATCTTACACCTAGACAACTGTCGTAGCCTTCTAACTACAACTTCTGTTTTCTTTGATCCATCTATATAAACTATAAAGCATGATCTACTGAAATATATATTGGATCAGGTCACTCTCCTACAACACTTCAGAGCTTCCCATAACAGGTGGGTGACCTGAATGACTGCAGTAGCCTAGGGGCAACCATGATGCACCAGCGAGAGCTTTCTCAGCCTCAAAGGAGCCACTGTTAGTTGGTTCCAGCAGATGTTGCCTTGGAGGTGTATCACTGCCAAATCTAACAAGGGATATAAAATCTGTGTGTGTGTGTGTGTGTGTGTGTGTGTGTGTGTGTGTGTGTGTGTGTGTGAAATCCCCTGTAATTTTAAATGTTGGCTCCCATGAAAAAAAAAAAGGAAAAAAGCACTGTGTGCTTAAAAGAAAACATATCTTCTGTCCAGATCAGGCTGAATGGCTGCCAATTTGCTTCCTCTGCAGAAGAGATCTGGTTTCTCCTTATCTTCTCAACTTTATTCTATGCTTTACTCCCATTTACTTTCTGTAATTTAGGCTCACTTATCTTTGCTTTCCTGGAATAGCTATTCAAGATCATGCTCAATGTGAGGCTCTTCCTTCACTGTAGGCTAGATGCGTAAAATCTGTCTGGGATATATGAGAGTAGGGCAGTTCTTCTTAAATTGGGTGGATTCCTACACTGATATTTTCATTCTTTCTCACAGAAGTTTCTTTTATAATTTTGTTTTTTGACTTCAGAGTACTTTTCTAAATTTGTGATTACATCTGCATGTGTTCATTTAATTAATTGATAAATTAGCTAAGTCATTAATTAATGAACATGTGCACATTGTACATTGTCTTTTCTGACATTAAATCCTAAGAACTATGTGGAGTGGCAAGCACTATGCCTGGACTTGGGTGTTTTATTTGTTCCTAGTACAAGGTCAGGCACATAACAGGTTAAACAATATAATGTAGATAATGAATGTATAAGTATATAAATGTATTTCTCTGTATTTTTCTTCCTATCTATACCAGATTCTAATCATCCTTCATCTCTTAGCTAAATACTAACCTTCTGTGACCTCATCTCCTAGCCTCTAAAAATACCATACTTCCTTTTTTGTCCATAACATTTCACATTACTTAAACTATGATGACAACATTATATTTTAGTCCAACTGTGAGCATTTTGATGTCTAACATCTATCATGGTGCATGCAATATAACTGTAAGATGATCTTATGAATTAAAATCCACTACACTTGAAGATAATTTAACTCATTATATTACTATTGTATTGTCTATTTCCAATAAACCATATCTTTTTGTAAAAAAACATATTTTGTAAAACTTTTGTAGCAAGTATTAACATTTATCCTAATTATAATTATTTTATAATATTCTATATATCATACTATAATAGATACTAGCATTAATTGAATACCTATTTTGTCTCAAGCTCTGTGATTCTACCATGTGTATATTATCGCATGTTATCTTCCTCTCAACCCTTGCAAGATAAGTATTATTATCCTCATTTTTAGATCATAGGAAACAAACTCTTGGAGAAGACAAGATACTTTATGGCAAGGATGGGATTTAAATGAAGTTTGTTTGACTTCAAAGCATAATGTAATAGAGTGATTAAAGGTCAGATTTTGGAATGACAAGTAATGACTTCAAATTCCAGTTCCATCAAATTATTAGCTGTGTAAATCCTTCAGTTTTCTTATTTGTATGTCAATATAATGTAATAAATACCATATAGGATTTCATAATAAAGAAGACATGTAAAAATACCACTTAGTAAATTGCTTGCCACATTGTAGTCTACAAAATAGCACTTTTAAAAATTTTGTGGCTGAGTCATTTTGTTGATTTTTAATAAAGCCACTTATTTTATTATGATCAGAATTTGACTATACTCCAGGAATTTTGAATTTCTTTCTGACATGCTTCTTCAAACACCATTATCTATATTAATTATGGAGCTGGTTAAAAAAAGTTCTGTGTTTCTTTAGAAAATTATAACTACATTCAGACTGAAATAATATTACTGTTTTTACACTCCAAGTACACCAAGATATAAATAACTTCAAGTAGTTTTAAAAGATCCATGGGAACAAAATTTCCATAGGTCTTTATCCTAAGAATTATCTTTTTTCTTCTTAGGAATAATCTTTAGCGTATCATTTATCCTTTACACAAACAAAATAAATAAGTAGATAGTGTAAATGTGTGATATGTAGAACTATAATCATTATCGATATTTAAAAAAATTAATAAAACATGAATATTTTGTGAATGTTAAGTAAATTAACATTTAAAATTTTATAGTTAGATGTTTTGTATCTTTTATTTAGAATATGCTACAATCAAAAGACTACCTAAAATGTTCAAGGTTTTTAAAAAATATTATTTGATAGTTATATAAATCAATGGTACCCAGAATACCTATATTCGCTGTGTTGTTAGTAGACATATTTCAAATTGGTATGTACTAATTTTAAATAAAGATAAAACATATTGAAGTTATGTTTACTTCTAAAAAAATACATCTAAAGTGTTATAGAACATTTGCAGATTTGCAGGAAGGTTTCACAGGCAGTGCCTTATTTACAACTCACCATTATATGTGGCAAATCTGATTTAAATGTTAAAGAAAAGGAAACTCATGCAGACAGAATTTAGTGACTCATCCAAAATCAGATAACTAATAAGCGGCAGAATTTGAATTCAAAGTCATGTCTTTCAAATCCAAATCCCATGATTTTTCATTTAGTACATAACGAGAAATTAATTTAAACTCCAAAACATGTACTAATAACATTGATATTTAATCAGACACTTTAAAATAATGAATTATTATTAACAGTAACATCGATGGAATCTGTCTGCCACAGTTTTACATAACCAGGTCTTCATCTCCATATTGCTGGTTATTTTTAAAATTTAAACTACACTTTAAGAAAATAAAGAATAAAATAAACAATTTAAAATATTACCTAAAATCTGATCCAACTCTCTTCCCATTTTCTGGTTCTCCTGGATCTGGGCATAAATTGGGAGCTGTTTTAATACCACCCTCATTTACTGTAACAACAGAAAAAAAAGAGAGGAAAAAAACATGCTATTAGAAAATTACGGATAACATTAATTTAAAAATTTACATAAAATATATTCTTGTATATTTTTATCATTAGTTTATACACAGTTAAAATATAATTTTGCTACCTAAAAATGAAGACAAAACATTTTTTCTATTTGTGGACTATAGGAAAATAAGTTTGATGTTCACATGAAATTACATGTTATTCTATTAACACATAAACAGGTAATGCCTTATTTAATTACTATATAAATTATGAAATCTTGGGAAGTGTGTTCCCAGAGTATCAGTACCAGAGTTTCTATTAATTACTAGCAGTACAGAAGTCACCAACAGTTATAACAGTGTCATTTGGGTACCTGTTATTTTTAAGTTACAGTGGAAAAATTAGACCCTATGGAAATAATTTAAAATTATTAGCACTTCTCAACTGGTATATAGTAGAACATGTTGGTCTGCTACTGTCAAAGTAAAACTATGGTGCAAATTATTACCAACATTCCATTGAATTATGATATAATACTGAAAAGCAAAATAATAACTTTACCATTGAACAATTTCCATAACAGTGTTTTGCTTAGCCATTGTACATGTTTCAGCAATTTTTTCAGAATACTCAGTTAATGAAAGATTTATTTTTTTCAGTGAATGTGAGCACGGTGGAAAACTAAATCCTCAAGGTCGATTTTTTTAGTGGGAAGATTATTAAATCAGATAGTTTTTAAATATCTGAGTGATACTGTTTCATAACTTCAATGTAACAGTGAACTGGAGAATAATTCTATTTTGCTCCTCATCAACTTATCTACTCTTAAGAAACAAATATACCTGAGTGGAGACTGTAGAGGAAAAAAAGTTAAATATTGCAATGGTTTGTGTCCTACACTGTGGATTAGAATCACTTGTGGAGTTTCCTTAAAGAGCAAAGAGGCCTACTTCTACCACAGATATTCTAATGCAATTATGCTAGGGTTGGACACGGGACATCAGTTTTTTTAAAAATATGTTTGTTTTGTTTGTTAATAATCCTAAGGTTATTCTAATGTAAATCAACATTGATAACCACTGTATCCCAGCATCATTTAGTTCAGATTGGTCGGTATTTGTCACATAGCAACAGAACTACCAGCAGATGGCCCAGGAGGCATGGCTCTGGTAAAGTTGTCATATTTTCATTTGGACATGAAACTTTGTATTTATGCCCCTCATTCTATAAAAACAACTTTCCTAAGTATCCCCAGCAATACTTTAATTGCTAACTTTATTACATATTCACCAGTCCATACAAAACATGTGACAGTTTTTCTTTTTTGGTCTGCCAACTTGCTATTTAATTCCTCTTTACCATTCTGTTTTTTGTGTGCTTGTTTCTATTTTGGGCACTCTCTTACTTTGGCTGTTACCACACAGAGTGGACAAATTCAAAGGCACTGACCCACAGTTCTACTTACTTTATATTTCCCTCAAGTCTTGAAAAATCACCTCTTTGTTAATAACTTTCAATCTATGGTTTTGTCATGTTTTGTTAGCTCCTTTCTTATTCCTTTAATGAACTATTAGATAATCCCACCAAATTTCCCACTGTTATCTCATTGGGGAGTTAGATATAACCTCATTACTGATGTTTTTTGGACTCTTTTATCATTCACCTCCAATCCATCTTGAGAACTAAAGGAGAACTAAACTTCTTCAAACACCATTTTTATTACTGTTCAAATCTACAATTCTAGATTTATAGTATAACAATTATTCATCTATTACTGAAATCTGTAGGATTCTTCATCTTTCTGTATTTTAATGGGCTACCATACTCACTCTGGGCTTGCTTTATTTTCTCCATGCTTTCAGGGTTGCTCTTTGTTCCCCTTTCGCTATCAACATCCCACCTAATTTTCAAGACTCAGCTCAAGTTCTACTTTTTGTAAAATATGATCTCTCATTTTCCCAGGTTATTCAAATCCCTCTTTTTACAGAAACTTGACAATTTTATATTTAATTTTTAAATTAGTTTGTGTTATAAATTAATAGTTGCACATTCCTTACTTGTACATAGAAAGAGATACATTTGATAAAGGGAAAACTTATAAATATTTTAATATACCCACATGCATAGATAAGGGTTAATAATTTCTTAGCAAATATGTCCTAGTTGTTTGAGAAACAAAAATATCTGGTATACTGTTTTCAATGAATTTGGTATTTTCTATGGAAGCACTTTTTAAAATATGTTTAAATACAATTTTTAAATATTGTGGTAAATGTTATTAAAATGTGGCTTTTTTACATAGGATAGAGATAAGGAAAAATGGCATGACCTAGACTTACCTACTTTATTATCATCTATAACACAGAGTATAGGTTAAGATAGAAGTGGTCTTTCAATATATTAGAAAATAAAAATAATAAAATTTCATTTTTTTCCATTTTATCAGAGCCTCAAAAATCAAGCTAAGGTTAATATGAATTTCAATAATAGCATACACTTATGTAGTACTATGTGTCAGGAACTATTCTACATCCTTAACATGTACCCATTTATAATCTTCACAACAATCTTAAAGTAGCTATTATTATTACACATTTCCTATAGGTGAGAAGACTGAGGACTAGAGAGGTTAAAAAGTGTTTCCAAAGTCATATTGCTAGTTAGTGCCTTAGTCTAGGTTTAAACCTTGGGCAGCCTGGTTCAAGAAATTCTACTCTTAACCCCTGAGCCTTACATCCTGTCCAGAAATCTCAGCCAGGGAAAAGAGCATCACTAGTTAATTCTCTTTTCCAAACATTTTGTCTTAAAATACAGAGCACATTCACAATTTCCACCATTTTCATTTACTTAATCCCAGTTCTTACAATTCTAATTGCGATATTACTTTCATCTATTTGTACATGTCCTTTAAACCACTGCTTATGGACATCTACAAGAGAGGAAAGACCTCCCAAGTTGAAATGTAAAGATAACAGGATAGTATCTATATATGTGCACTTAATGTTCCTTAATTGAAAACATTTAAAATAAAAATAAAGAACAAAGTGCATATAATCTCTTATTTTTCTAATGTTCAGATATTTCATAACTGCCCACAGCAAGTGATGTCAAGACATACAAATGAAGTTAGTATTCATTCAATCAGCTGCTCTCACTCCTCCATAACATCATTCAAGCAAGTGGCTAGATTTATCACTTTTATTTTTAAAAGTTTGAATTTAACTTACAGAGTGGTAAGAACAGGAGTACTCTTTAAAAGTTTAATTGCCTGGACAAGATGCTGCCTCTTGAATACCCTTTTTTGCTCTAATATTTCAGGATATTTTATCATCATCATCATTATTAATTATTACTGCAATATTAGTCATTTTCCCCACATATCTGTGGGAAAAAGAGAGGAGGGCAGTACGTATTGGATTTTAAAAATTAAATGAATTGTCCTTTCTTACATCATTGAGGTGCAGTATCTTTATTACATGTGTCTGTCAAATATGTTACCATAACCTTAATGAATTTACCATATTTTTGTGTGTTCCAGCTTAAATACACTAGCTACATAAATACTCAACATCAAAATATAATTTTGTTATTATTAGCAAGTTTTCTGAGGCTTCTAGCTTTACACAGCATATAATCTATTCTAAAAATAAAAAAAGTAGATTCTGACCAAAAGTCACATCCCTGTTACCTCATCCAGCTACCTTTCTTTGATTTTTTAATAGTGCATTTAAAAAATTTATTCCACCTTATAAAATAAAACACTTTTGGTCTTGAATTCAAACATCATGGATGTTGACAGAATGTTACTTTATACTAACTTTATATTCTTCACAGAGTTGCCTTGTTTGTTTTGCTTCCCAATAAAATGCTGGAATCTTGCAGGCTAAGACTGTATTTTATTCACTCTTTTACCTGCTTAGTTTAGCATGGTGCTCCCATGGAGATGTAGCTCAAACGGAATTGTGAAATGAATGGATAATAATGAATGAATGAAAGTATGAATTTGAAGAAGATGAAATAAACATACATGATGGGAAGCTCATTTTTTAATAATTCCATCTTTATATTCAAGAAGAGTCTAGTAGAAAAGTTGGCAAGTTTACTAGTTCACTAAATTCAACATTTTAAATACAAAATATTCTTTTTATTTTTAAAATAAAAAAACCTAATTTTTTTTCTTTCTTGGAAAACTTATGCCTTTATGTAGAATAAGGTGGGATGAATACAGGCTATTTAGAATTCAGGTATGAAAGTTGGAAAAATAATCTGAATTAGCCATTTAAACAACCAAACGCTCTCCATGGACACTACTGCAACATCCTGAATCTCTTATTAATGTTTCTTAGTTAAACTGTAAAATTGCTGTTGCGGGAAGACATGCTTTAGCAATGTGTGTGCTTTATATCATCTATGCTTATGTTAATTTCTGGCAATTCTGATAATAGAATTGATCATTTTTTCAAAGAAGATGAGCTGCATTTATTTCTTTACATTTGAAAGGTGAATGTGAGATAACAATTGTCTCCTTTTAAAACTGGTTCTGTGTTAAATTATATCAAAGAGATAAAAACTGAATACTTACTTGGTAATAGGTATATAATGATCATAATTAAAACAATGTAACCCTTTTCTATAAACAACCATAAAGAATATATTTTTGAAACTAGTGAATAAATACTTGAGAAAAAAATTGGAGGAAAATAAAATTTAAAATGCTTTTGGTTTATTATTCTTGACTATAAAAAATTGGCCTATATAATTTGCTTAGATTGAAGTGGGGATATTACATTCAAAAATAAAACAAGATCAAAAGTATTTTTATCTCTTACATAAAATATGAGTGCAAAATTTGTTTTAAAATTATGAAGTAAATTTACATTTTTGCTTTATGACTTTTATTGTCTCATTAATTTTTGTCCTGACAATTTTAAAGCAAACATAAAAGATCTTTAAATAAAATATTTGTATTTTAAAATGTCAGGTTTCCCTCTCCACACC